TTCTTTCTTTCTTTCTTTAGTTTTTGTTCCTGTTTTCTCCTTTCACCTTTTCTCTATTTCATTTATTTATACTTACTTTTTCTTTCTTCTGACACTATTTCTTTTTTTGAAAATCCTTGCTTCATTTTTTTTCTCTCCTTTTTCTAAGTTTTTTCTTCTTTCTGCAATATTTTCTTTTTTTATTCTTTCTTTTTTCTTTCTTTTTTTCTTTTCTTTTCTTTCTTTCTTTTTTCTTTCTTTCTTTCTTTCTTTTTTTATTCTTTCTTTCTTTCTCATAGTGATTTTCTAAGTGTAACTTAGATGTGGCACAAGGCCAAAAAGTATGGAACACCCAGTGAGGATCAAACTCACTACTTATTCATAAAAGATCAACAAACTTGTTAACCAATTACACCACATCATAGCACCCCTTTCTTTATTATAATACTCTATATTATTCATTTCTTTTTTAACCTTTCTTTCTTTCTTTCTTTTATTTTCTTTACTTTTCCTTCTTTTTTGGCTTTTCCTTCTTGTTTTCGACTTTCATCCTTTTCCAATTTCATTTATTTCTACTTTCTTTTCCTCTTCTTTTTTCTGTAAATTTGTTCTTTTTTCTTCCTCTTGCAAATTCTTGCTTCATTTCTTCTTCCTGCTTTTTCTAACATTTTTCTTCTTTCTGTCGAATGTTTTTCTTTATTTATTTTTTCTTTCTTTCTTATACTTCTCCATGTTATTTCTTTCTTTGTTCAATTTATTTCTTTTTCCGTTTATATTTATTTCTATTGCTCTATTCTTCTTTCCACATATGCCCACACCTTTTTCTTCTTTACAACACCTTATTCTTTCTTTCTCTTCTTTCTTTCTCTTTTCTCTCTTCTTTCTTTCTTTCTTTTTTCTTTCTTTTATTTCTTTTTTATATTTCTTTTTTTCTTATGCTTCTCTATGTTATTTCTTTATTTCTTTCTTCAATTCATTTCTCATTCCTTTTCTATTTCTTACTATTACCTTATTCTTCTTTCCACATATGCCACTCATGTTTCCTTTACAACTCCTTCTTTCTTTCTTTCTTTCTTTCTTTCTTTCTTTCTTTCTTTCTTTCTTTCTTATATTTCTTTTTTTCTTATGCTTCTCTATGTTATTTGTTTATTTCTTTCTTTGTTCAATTCATTTCTTTTTACTTTTATATTTCTTTCTATTGCTCCATTCTTCTTTCCACATATGCCCACTCCTTTTTCTTCTTTACAACACCTTATTCTTTCTTTCTCTTCTTTCTTTCTTTTTTTCTCTTCTTTCTTTCTTTCTTTCTTTTTTTTTTTCTTTTTTTTTTTTTTTTTATTTTTTTTTTTTCTTATGTTTTTCTTTATTTTTTTTTCTTTATTTCTTTCCTTTTCTATTCATTTCTCATTCCTTTTCTTTTTCCACATATGCCACTTATTCTTTTTTTTACCACATCTTTCACTCATGTTTCCTTTTCAACTCCTTTTATTTCTTTCTTTTTTTCTTTTTTCTTTCTTTCTTTCTTTATTTATTTTCTTTCTTATTTTCTTTTTTCTTATTCTTCTCTATGTTATTTTTTTTTTATTTCTTTTCTTCAATTCATTCTTTCATTCCTTTTCTTCTTTCTTTCTTTTCTTATATTTCTTTCTTATTCTTTTTTCCATGCATATGCCATTTCTTTATTTTTCTTCAATTACAATTTCTTTTTCTTTACCCATTTTTTTCCACATTTTGTTTCTTTCTTTCTTTCTTTCTTTTCTTTCTTTATTTCTTTCTTATATTTCTTTTTTTTTTCTTTTTTCTTATGCTCTATGTTATTTCTTTATTTCTTTCTTCAATTCATTTCTTTTTCCTTTTCTATTTCTTTCTATTACCCATTCTTTTTTCCACATATGCCACTCATGTTTCCTTTACAACTCCTTCTTTCTTTCTTTCTTTCTTTCTTTCTTTCTTATATTTCTTTCTTATATTTCTTTTTTTCTTATGCTTCTCTATGTTATTTCTTTATTTCTTTCTTCAATTCATTTCTTTTTCCTTTTCTATTTCTTTCTATTACCCATTCTTTTTTCCACATATGCCACTCATGTTTCCTTTTTTAACCTTCTTTCTTTCTTTCTTTCTTTCTTTTCTTTTTTTCTTTCTTTCTTATATTTCTTTCTTATATTTCTTTTTTTCTTATGCTTCTCTATGTTATTTCTTTATTTCTTTCTTCAATTCATTTCTTTTTCCTTTTCTATTTCTTTCTATTACCCATTCTTTTTTCCACATATGCCACTCATGTTTCCTTTACAACTCCTTCTTTCTTTCTTTCTTTCTTTCTTTCTTTCTTATATTTCTTTCTTATATTTCTTTTTTTCTTATGCTTCTCTATGTTATTTCTTTATTTCTTTCTTCAATTCATTTCTTTTTCCTTTTCTATTTCTTTCTATTACCCATTCTTCTTTCCACATATGCCCACTCTTTTGTTTTCTTTACAACTCCTTGTTCTTTCTTTCTTTCTTTCTTGCTTTCTTTCTTTCTTTCTTCTTTCCTTCTCATACTTCTCTATGTTATTTCTTTCTTTCATTCATTCTTATTCTTTCTTTTCTTTTCTTTTATGCATACACATAATCAAAGACACAAACATATTCTGACACAATTACAAATGCTAATGTCAGCTACCAACTATTTTTAGCTGATAATTTTACCTTTTCTGAATTCAGTCAAACATTCAAAACACTCATGATCAAATATTAAGTTTATATTTATATGATATTATATATATATATTATGTATATGCATTTTTAGCTATATTAACCCCACTCTCTCTCTCTTTCTCTCTCTCTCTCTCTCTCTCTCTCTCTATATATATATATATATATATATATATATATATATATATATATATATACCTTTTTTTTTCCTCTTATTTTCTCACAGTGCATATTATGTTTTTTTTTTGTCAATCAACATGACCAACATATTCTTCTGATGATGTGTTGGTCAAAAAGGATCTCTAAAGAAAGAATGCCTTCATGCATTTTTAAATCTGTGTATGTTTTGAGGCACTAGATTTCTGTTTATATATATATATATATATATATATATATATATATATATATATATAGTATAGGATTGGTGTATACAGAATAAATTCCAATAATCAAAAAAATACTGTTCTTAAAAGAGTTCTCATTTCAGAGTAGAGCAAATATAATTATTTATTCTAAAATTATAACATAAATATAAAATACAATCACTACAAAAATAGCCATTTTGTTTCAACAACAGAATGATAAGTTACCAGAAGTGTTGAAACAAAAATGGCTATTTTTTAGTGATTTTATAACATATTTATGTTATAATTTTAGAATAAATTATATATATATATATATATATATATATATATATATATATGAAAAAATTACTTAACTTTTAAATATTAGTTTTATCTTGACTTCGAAGTTTCTTGGTAAAATTTCCAGTCTTCAGGGAGTTCTGATTTTAAACAATATTTCAAATTTTTTTTAATTCATTCCGTGTCTTTTTCAAGATGCTTTTTTTATTCAGTTTTGTACACAGGTGTATTCATGAATTTAACATTCTTGTTCACGCACATGTCCATGAAATTTTGCTTTCATTTATGTCTTTCATTTTTTCAGCTGCAGATTATTCTTCCAGTCATAAATTTTTCCTTTAAAATTAAATTTTTCTTTGAAATTAAATAAAATCTTTTTTTTCAACTATAACTCATTTTTATTGTATTTTTGTTAATGATTTTTGATAGTTTAATATTTTTATGGAAATGTTTTTCAATTAATTTAAAGAATATTTTTGTGTATATGTTTTTGGTATCAAATTTCTGTTTATATATATATATACATATATTTTATATATAATAAATATAACATAACATAAAAAAGATTACTTAACTTTTAAATATCAATTTTATCCTGACTTCAAAGTTTCATAGAATGCAACATATACATATATATATATATATATATATATATATATATATATATATATATATATAATCACTCTCTAATTTTGATCATATTGGACATCCTACTCCTCCCCTCTCTATCACCTTACATCAATTTAAAATTAACCTCAAAAACTTGTATAAAAATAATATGTAAATTTTTAAATTTTTTTATGCTTGGAAATGTGATCTGAGGAACCAATAAAAAAAATCTCATTCCTAGGGGAATAAAATTTAATCTATTGATCCCTAAGGTTAACTGTCTTTTAATTCAACATATATATATATATATATATATATATATATATTGGATGTCTATAAATTAACTGTACATCTTCCATACTTTATTGTATCCATTAACAAGGATTAATAGGCTCACTACTTTCTTTCCTTCTTCTTCTTGGCAAACTAGCAAGGCTTTCATTGACCCAATAAAGATTTTAATTAGACTTGTTAATTTCTTTCCTTCTTCTTCATGCTCCAATCGTTAATTTCTGTGAAAGGCAAAAATCTCACATAGGCTCACGAATTTCTTTCCTTCTTCTTCCCCAGCCCTCCAAATTTTAAGGGAGTGGGTGAAGGCAGTTATTATTTTGCACTAACTACACTATACTGGAAAATATGGAAAATGAAGAAATTTTCTCAAATGGTTGTGTAAGAGAGTGATTGATTTATTCATTCATTTTCTGTGGTTTATCAACTTTTTAGATTGTAAGAATCTTTTTACATAATAATGATTTATTTATAGAAGCCTTACTAATTAACCCATAGCTGAAAGAGAAGAGGTGGATTTATACCTTTTTCAAGGGTATTTGCATGTAAGATAATATAACGAACCCAACTAGAATTGGAACTCAGCTCTCCAGTTAAAAATTCTGAGCCATTATCCCTTACACCACCTGCACATCCAAGCTTATAACAGCTGCTATTCCCAAACAGTAACCCATTTAGGTATTGACCTGAGTGGATGTTGCTTAACTTCAGTGATCGTATCGGAACTTGGCTCTCCGATTAACAATTCTGAGATGTTATCCATTACCCCACCCACACAACCAAGCTTACAGCACTTGCTATTCCCAAGTGGTCACCCATCTAGATACTGACCAGGCTGGAGGTTGCTTAACTTCAGTGATCATAGCGGAAGTCAGATCTCCAATTAACAATTCAGAGCCTTCATACCAGCACAAGCCAGCTTACAACACCTGGTATTCTCTAGGTACTGACATGGATGAATGTTGCTTAACTTCAGTGATCATATCGGAACTCGGCTCTCTGATTAACAATTCAGAGCCTTTATCCATCACACCACCAGTACATCCAAGCTTACATCACCTGATATTCCCAAGCAGTCACCTATCTAGGTACTGACCTGGCTGGATGTTGCTTAACTTCGGTGATCATTTCAGATCTCGGCTCTCCGATTAACAATTTTGAGTCATTATCCATTACACTACCCGCACAACCAAGCTTACAGCACCTGGTATTCCCAAGCGGTCACCCATCTACGTACTGACCAGGCTCGACTTTGCTGTAGGAGAAGGATATTAGTAAACCAAGGTGGAATTCCTGACAATATATGAGAGTGCACAGATTGAAATTATGTACATTATTTACACTAGGACTATTAAAGCATTGGTTTGTGTATTTGGTTAATACTAATAGTAATTGTGTGTTCAGCAAACTTGGTCTCCGGACTGAGACGCAGCTGAGAAAAAGTACTGAGAAGTGCTCAGTTCCGGGGAATAGCTGACCGTGGCTGTACCCGCCTCATTCCACTGGAGGGGGAGATTGGTAGTTATACCGATGCCGGCACAACTGACAGTTGTAAGCTTGGACAAGTTTTGGCCTTGGCCTGAGCGTACACATTTGGGTTCCCTATACTAAACCCAACCTTGTGTCACATCACATTCCAATGGAGAGACAGGGTAAATAATACTTGTACCTTTGTACCCCAAAAAACGGAGTTTGAAAAAGATGGTTTTTCCATTTACGCCGCTATTATTTTAACTACCTTCACTCCTCGGCAATGTTTATAAATAATCTCATAAATAAATAGTATTTATGATTTTTGAGAACAAAGAAAAGGTATAAATTCACTTTTACATGTTTGGATTTTATTACAATTCTAATCATCGCTTTTTAAAACAATAAGCATTGCCAAGGAGTGAAGGTAGTTAAAATAACAGCGGTGTAAATGAAAAAAAAAAACGTCTTTTGATACTCCGTTTTTTGGGGGTTTTTTGGGGGGGTTTTTTTTCGGGCACGAAGGTTTAAATTTGCCGTTTGTTCAATCCCTGGGCCAGGTAGTGCAAATTTAAACTCAGGAAAAACATGACAAGCAGTCAGTAGCGCACAGAAGGGGTGGGGGCAGAGGGGGTGTGCCTTCAGGCATCCGTATCGGGAGGGCATCCAATCAAAGAGTGAAATAAAAATTTAGTTTATATTTAATTTGAATAAAGTGTTTATTTCATATTTCATCTGTTTTTACATATTTAAAAGTTTGTTTCTCTCATTTCTCAGTACTAGGCCCTATAGACCCCAGCTACTTGAGTCTTAGGAGCATAAAATCAAGGAGTTGGCCCTATGAATCACCAAACCTATGCACGTCACTGCAAGCAATAACCAAGCATTACTAAATAAGAATAATACACAAGATATTCCTAAATATGGACTGCGGAATGAGAATAATCTATCTTGTAGATTAAATAAAAGGTACAATTCAGAATTTACTGTAGGTTACCCGGATCGACAAGTACTTGAAGAAGGCTAGAGGTTAAAACAGCTGAAACATTGTGATAATAAAAAATAAAGAGAACAATAGTCCGAATGTAAATAATATAAATAATGATAATTCCTCATTCCAGAAATTCAGACAGTAAATATGTTTTGTTAAATAAAATAAACACATTGGGCTCATTACATTTGACCGATTAATTCCCGTGTGTGACGATTTAAAGTACGAAGGAGATGTCCGCAGTTCATATCTGTTTATTTTGAATATTTTGAACTTTTAACTGACTTCAGTCATTGTCAAGAATCAACGTTCTGCATTGACTTTGGAACTATTTTAAATATGATGCATTATTTTAATTTTTTAATTTATTTTATGTCACATGAAGTTGATGTTGTCCTTGTGATGCCATTTTAATGTGGCATTATATGGGCTCTGGTAATTTGAACGTATTTTTAAATTGTATATTCCTAAATTATAAGTGTTTCGATTAATAAATGGCTGTTTTAATATGAAAAGTTTCTAGAATTTGTAATCCTTTTTTCAAAGTTTGTTTTGCTAAGTATTACTGTTATTCTCAAGGAGCTAACTAACTGTAATTGTCGTGTTTTTGTATCGGTTCTCGGATAGTTGCGCACTGGACAACTGTGTACCAGACAATTGCATTCCTGGACATTTGCGCCCCTAACAAATGCGTCTCTGGATAATTGCTTACCTCTGATAATTTTTTGAAGCTTTTAAAGACAATTACCATAAATTTTGAAAAAAGCATAGGTACTAATCATAATTTTTTAAAAAAGAAATAAAAGGAATAAAACTAAAAAAAATTAAAAGTTTATTTTTGTTTAAAATGTAGTGACAGATTAACAGTGTTGCAAGATCGCTCTACACATCGCCATTATGTTTTTGTTTCATCGGCGTTTTTCTTATGATAGCGATAACTATAATTTTTCTCGTCCACAAATATTTTTCCATCAGTGTTTGATTTTCGGAACTTAGCTACGTGTTCCAAATAAAAAAATATAATCTATAAAATCATTTGCTTACCTCTGATAACATCTATGTTTGTGGTACGCACTGCTGGAGTGAACTGAAACTTGTTTAATTTTCTCTTGCTTTAACCGCTTTATCGGTGGTAGAGAAAAATGACTTAATGGCCACTTACCGGTTGAACGGTGGGTAACTCTTCTAACTATTTATATATCTATCGTGAAACATTACATACCAATTCTTCGTGAATTTTGACTTAGGAGCTCAGGCAGAATGGTTAAATTAAAATTGTTCAGGAACGCAAGGCTCAAAGGGTCAAAAAAGAAAATTTTCTCTTTTTTATTTATCGCAACTACCTTTTTGCTTGATTAGAGTAATTAAAGGTATTGGTGTGAAAATTTCTGTATCAAAATCTTACTTATTATAAAACGCAGATTGTGTGTGCATGTGTGTGTGTGTGTGTGTGTGTGTGTGTGTGTGTGTACGTTTATATATTGGATCGGATTTCCTACATTTTTCAACCGATTTCAACAAAACTTCACAGGACTACGCAAAATTACAGCGCCAAAAATTGGAAAAACACAATTGTTTTTGCACGATATCAATTTGAATACACGATTAAGAGGCATCACGAGAATGAAAGGGGGACAACTCATATCGAGTTATACTTATTATAAAACCAAGGTTGTTTGTGTGTGTGTGTGTGTGTGTGTGTGTGTGTGTGTGTGTGTTCATTTATATATGGGATCGGATTTCCTACATTTTTCAACCGATTTCAACAAAACTTCACTTTTTTTTTTGGCAGGTCGTGTTTCTTATTGTCTTGCACACTTTTTTCTTTATTTTTACATTCAGAATGCTTTAAAAATTCCATTTGCAAGACAATTGTTTATAATAAAATTCTATTCAAATGGTAGACTCATAACGATTGAAAACAATGTTTTTGTTTGAGTTTGGGTTTGACCAATTCATAAAAAAAAAGAAAAACTAATTAAGACATGCGTGTCTGTCAACCTTAAATAATAATCTTTGTAAATTTTATTTTTCAGTCTTTATGATGGTTGATACTTGATCTATCTCTTACTGTTACATCCCCCGGGCAACGCCGGGCTCTCCTGCTAGTATTATATATACGTATATATAATATATTTTCTAAATAAAAAATGTCAACTTCAAAAAATTATCAGAGGTACGCAATTACCCAGGGGCGCATTTGTTTAGGGACGCAAATGTCCAGGGACGCAATTGTCAGGTATGCAATTGTCAGGGACGCAAATGTCCGGTACGCAACTGCCCGTCTACCTTTTGTATCGTATTCTGTGTTGCTGTATAGCTGTGAAAAAAAATGAAATGAAACCGATAAATAAAATAAATAAAAACAATGAAATAAATTTTTCCTATGATGCTAAGAGAAAAGGAACAAGCAATATGAATACCCTACTTGGTTTTGTCAAGCATCGTTAAGTGGCGCAGTTTAAGTTAATAAAAGGGCAAACATTTCCTGCTGCATTCTCTCTTTCTCCTTTTTGCTGCAAGATGTAGAACCACGCATTATAACGTTCCCACTGGGGAATGCTAGTTTCCCTGACCCATTGACAACTTCTCATTTTCCATTACCTCCATCTAGGCTGACTTGAGCACGACAATTGTAACGATGTTTATACTTACTTACCCTAACTTCTGAACCATAAAAAAGGAAAACATACATTCCATAACCATGTTTAAACCTCTCAGTGATAAAGTAAATACAAATCTTGCTTTGGTTGTTCCAACTCTGCGCAAGGCAGACTTGAGCTCGACCATTAATACAATGCTTATAATTACTTACCCTAACTTCTGGGCCAAAATGAAAACAGACGTACCCAAGAGACATTAAGAACTTTGCTTCACTACCGTCACCATAAAAAAGAGAAAAGATAGTCCGTAGTTGAAACTCAAGTTTTTGTATGCATCGTCTTTAATTGTTTACATAAGAACACGCACACCACTTATAAAATACACAAACACGCAGTCTTTTAAATTCCATATAGCTCTTTTGACGGAATTATGCCAAGTGAATCTTTTGCAAGATTTTCCATCAGTTTATATACACAACTACAAATCCACTTTGAAATGGCTGCTCGCCTTATATCCTGGTTGTGAAAGTTTTCTGATTGGTTTGTTGATCTATCTATTTTTAGAAATGATTAAATTTGGTCTCCTTGTTATTATTTGTTTAATGCTTTTCTTACATTCTGGTCGTGAAAGCTTTCTGATTGGTTGGTCGAACTATGGCTTTGATTGTCTGGTGATTTTTATTATCCATCATTTTTTAGGGATGAGAAAATTTGTGTTTTTGTTATTTACTTACTTAAGGGTGAATTTCCAAATATTACAAAAAAGAAATAGAAAGACTTCATCCGTTCTCATTGTCATATTTG